CATGTAACCAGTTTCGAGTAGCAACAAGTGTTTGGACATTTTCATGGTGGATGCAACTTTTATACTTAGTGATTTCCTAAAAAACTTTAAATAGATTTTGAGTTTGGATCTCTTTAATTTTAAATTTTAATATTATATTATATTTTTTAATTAATTTGTATTAGCCCATGGGCCGGCCCTACCTATATTTCTCAAGCCCCACAAATCAGCATGCTTATTCAGGCCGGGCTAAAAAGCCCTTTTTTTAAATGGGCTCCAAAATTTTTAGCCCAGCCCTATTAAATCTCGGGTTAGGCCAGGCCGGCCCAACAGGCCTAGCCCATATTGACGGCTCTAGTGAGAATTGCTCTTTTTTTTAAAATAAAATAAATAAATATTTTATTATTTTAATTTATGTGATATTATTGAAATTTTAAGATTTTAAATTTTAATAGTAAATTTGAACTTAGAAATTTTAGAGATAAAATTGATATATTTGGAAATTATGTAATAAACATTATAAATCGCAATAATTAACAACTTAAAATATTTAAAAGAAATATAAAGAACATATGATAAAAGAAAACTTAAAAGGTATTTTTGCTCAATTATGCATAGTTTCTTTCTGACCATTTTCCGTTTAAAATATTACAAAATCATTCCAGGATTTTTATCTTCCTAATTGAATTTTTTTTTTCTCTCTCATCGATCTTCTTTTGGGAAAATGAGTAAAGAGAAAAGGGAATGTACAATGTGTCTTTGATGTGTGAATTCTTGGGCAAGAGGGAAATTCGAGGTAAATTAAGCGGATTTCAATTTTTTTGAGGTGGGTCTCATCATAGTTAAGGTAAAATGGCTTGACAAGTATGTATCTATGCACATATACACTAGATATTTTGAAGAGATGCATATGTTCATCTCTGGGCTAACAAGTATGAATCTATATATATTTACACTAGATATTTTGAAGAGATACATATGTGTATCTCCTCTTTTTCTTCTTCATCTTCTTAGTCAGATACATGCTTTCATATTCTACTAGATATACTCATAGAATTTAATACTAGATGCACAAGTATATGAAATTATGAAACACATAAAAAAATGAGAGGAAGGAGAGAGGGATAAAGACAGTGTATCCCAAATACAGTCACATATAGTGGCGGATTCAGAATTTTTATTTAGGGGTTCAAATTATAAAAAACTAAATGTGAAAATTTTTTAGAATGAAAAGCAAAGTGAGGCGTCCGCTAAATTTTACCCGCGTTATCATGCCCTTTTAACATTCTTTCCATTTTGGTTGTGTACCACCGCATCCTTCTTAAAAGATATCGTGTTTTTTTTTCTTTCATTTTACAGTGTCCTACTTTATTTTAAAAGGTGCAGGGATTGAATTATTAATAGGGAAAATTGTACATAATGGCAAACTATTAATTCAAATTAAATGGTATAATCACACTTTGATTTTATTGTGTCCTGTAGCAAATTGTTTGCCAGCACCTCTCTCCCTCAAACTCTCGCTCGCCACTCTCCTCTCTCGCTCACTCCCTCTGTGCTCGCCTCTCTCGCTTTATACAACAGAAGTGTATAAATTGCGTTTCTGTTTGTATAAAGCGCGAGAAAATTGTATATACACATGCAAATACATATATATTCGTCCTATACACTTATAATTATACAATAAAAATATTCTCCTGCCCAGTTCTCGTTTGCCTTTCTCTCTTTCTCGTTTTATACAATAAAATTGTATAAATTGCGTTTCTGTTTGTATAAAGCGCGAGAAAATTGTATATACACATGCAAATACATATATATTCGTCCTATACACTTATAATTATACAATAAAAATATTCCCCTACCCAGTTTTATGTTTGTATAATGTATGATTTATGTTTTGTATAAAGCGAAAGAGAGAGTGATTTTTGATATACAAATATTTTTGTCAATGATTTATACAAACAAGAGGCTAACAACAATTTATACAAATGGTCTGCCAGCGAAATTATAACAATTCTGAAAGAGGGAGCCAAACGGAATTTATACAATTGCTATCTTTTTGTATATATGTATAGCGAAATAGACAGCTTTCAATTGTATATGTATAGCGAATTATACATATATATGTTTGCTATGGAGCGCAATTATGCAAACTTTGCTATAGCATACAAATATGATTTTTTTGTTTGCTATATGTGAAAGTTACTCTTATTAATATTATAATATATATTTAGTGCTTAAACCATAAAAAAATATTGAACAAACATCAATATTAATATGTTGAATGATAAAAATATTGGCTGAAAAGAACGACTTATATATGTAAAACTAGTCAAATATGAAAATATTTTGAACAGATGTAAAATAGAACGTATAAAAAAGAGATATGCATTGTGTTATTTTTTTTATTGCGGCTGAGAAATGTATTGATATTGCAAAGCAATAGCAATTATAGGAATTTTGCTAAGACTTCAAACTAGTATTGAGAACATCGAAAGAAAGAATCAAAATATTTTTTAATTCTAATTATGTAAAAATTCTCTTTTATATAAGCCAACAACAATGGGACTAACATGCATTAACTCTTTGTACCTTTAGCATTAGGTATTTGTACCTTTTTACAAGTATCAGGACTCTTTCTGGCCCTCTTTTATTGGTCATTCAACACGTGGATGGTTCTATAGTAATAAATTTGCATGTATGTTGTACTATTGCCTTTACATATATACGGAAATCAAACAAATCAAAAGTGAACCATCACCTTCTCTCAGCTAACTTCTCCAGCTCAGATTCTTCAAGCTTTAAATTGGTGGGTTTTTCGTTTTTCCTTTGCTGTTTTCATCGATTTGTTTTCTTTTTGTGCAATTGTTTGTTCATTGTGCTTTTATGTCTGGTCTGTTTTATGTCCTTTTGTTTTCGTTTTGTGCAATTTCTAGATTGTGATTCTCTGAAACTCCTCTTTCTTGGTTCTGCTCATGCACACTTCTTTGTTGTTTCTTATTTGAGATATTTCAATCTCTTTGAAGAATTGGAGTGCTAAATATATTTTTTGGTCTCTTGCTTTCATTTTTTGATTTGTTAATTTCTATTGCATGTTAGTATTATCATTGTCTCTGCATTGTACAATAGGTATTTGATGATGTGTTGTAATGAACTTTGTTCGCTTCTTTAACAGTAGACTAAGAGAAATTCTAGAGTTCAAAAATTCCACCATTTAACCTTGCATGTGTATCCTACCATTACCAAGATTACGAATTTAAAAGAACTCTAATTGTTGTGGCTCTCATTGTGAAGATAAAGACATATGGCGCCAAGATTGAATATTGAAGGAATAACCATTGACACTCCCGATTGGACTTGCAAAGTCCAAATTGTTGACATGAGTCGTGTGACAAACTAAGTTTGGAGAAGAAATTCTGATTCCAAAATCTGATTTTGGAAGACGAGCAGGTCCTCTCGCTCATCCTCTAGGCATAATTATATAATTTATCTGTAACTCACAAGGTTCACCGACTTTACAGGATTAACAAATCAGGACAGTTGTGTATGGTGATGATATTGACTACTATGCAAAGAAGCTTACATTGTTGAATACATATGTAATCTCTACTGCCAGAGTGAAAGTTTCACTACCTTCGTACGAAAGGATAATACTTAAATTTTATTGGGTGCTTGATAAGGAAACTCTGATCGAACATATCAAACCAAATAACCAGCTTGAGAAATCAATGTTGCCACTGATCAAGTTACTTACCACAGCTTTTGCCAATATTGCTCAACTGACTCCTGGTCCTAATGCAGAAATTGGTATATTCCTCTTACTAACAATTAGGTAGCAAAAAATTATGTCCCCACATGTAATGACCTCATATTTCTTTATTTCTACCAGATATTGTAGCAGTTGTTCTCCGTTGTGGCCCTTCAAAATATGCATGACGCACTCAAAATAGGATTCGCGAGGTTACTATTTCTGATGATCAGTAAGTACAACCTTCTGTTTTATACATTGGTATTTTACGTTTTCAGATTTTGACACAATCTTGTTATAGATTCGAGAAAAAGTTATATTCATGTATTCCTCATGCTTTCAGTCGAAACCAATTTCTGCTTACTTTATGGGACGACTTCGGGGAAATTGAAGGAGCTGAATTGGCAGCTCAAATGGGAAAGGGTAAAGAGTTCCCTGTAATGCTTGCATGGAACATTGGAATCTCTGGTTATCAAAGTATGCGTGACTTACATTGTTTTACTAAAATCTCACTTTTTTATACCATACACTATTACACTATCATTTCATATGTATAGGTTTATCCTTGCAAACCAGATTCAACTCCACGATACGCATAAATCCTACCTATCTGCAAGCATTACAATTGATCAGTTGGAATTGACTTCTTACTATACATCTCTAGCTTTAGCGTGCCATAAAAAACATATTTCGCAATTTTTCTGTTGTCATAATATGGCAAAGACAAACAAAGACGTGATTTTGGGCAATGTGTCGGGTAACTTCGCGGGATCATCCACTTCTCTTACCGTGAATCATGTTCACCAACGAATCGTTTCTATTGCAAAAATTGTAACAACAGCTTCAGTAGGTTTCAGAAATATTTAGACTAGCTCAAATTATTGATGGAGTAGAGTTAGATATACAGTTTTTGTTGGGCATTACAGGTTGGAGTTTTCCACATTGAGGCCGAAATATCAATATCGGATGATCTTCAAAAGTTTTGCGTCCTAGAATGTTCAGGCTGCAAACAGAAAAAACGCACAAAAAAGAAGAAGCAGTTTGATTGCGCAAATGTCAAAGACCCACTACATTGGTGCCTCGGTATTACGTTTATGCTATATACACAAATTTATTGTGGTAAAATATCACATATATACAAATAAAATTTCAAGTATTAACTCATTATGATGACAGTGGTTCAACAAGTGCCTTCATTTCTGGTGATCCAGACGAAAAACTTCTCTCCATGAAGGCAGAGGACATATTTGACACAACCTGCGTCAAGGTTACCTCTTACTTATATTTCTTAGTGTCTGTGTTTATATATACTTAATATGTGTTTATATATACTTAATATACTTCTGCAAATGATTTCTTTTGTTTCCAGAACCAACTTCTCCATGTTGATCAGACCCAAAAAATGTTGCCGAAGAGACTATTTCACATTCAACTGAGAAAGTCATCCTGGAAAAACTTTAATGTTACTCAGTCAAGTCTAATAGTTCTGTCCTACACGGAAAAAGAACATGTATCTCTACCAGGCACTAGCGAGAGGAACATTAAAAGGGCCAAATCATTTGATGCTAACGAGGTAGAGATGAAAGCGACATTTGTTGAATCTGAATTTTCCAGTAGCGGTGCCTCAATTGAACCACCCACGCCAATGAAGAGGTTGTGAAAGGTTAGTGAACCTGTCGGTGAAGTTAGGCAGATTAGTCGGTCTTTTTTCCCCTTTCTAAAAGGTTGTAACAATTAACTTGACAAGCACCAATATGAGCTTACTAAATATGTCTAGCAGAAATGTGGATTATTGTTAAATTTCAGATACTCATGCCTATTTAGTTTTGATAATAACATATTAAGGGGTTGGAAACGGCAGAATTGTAAGGCTTGCTTAGATAAGTAATTTTAAGAATCTATTCTCTTCTGAGAGCTACAAGTCCAATACAGCACATGATATTTTTCCTAACGATCAGTAATGAGGAATTAAGTGAAATCAAAAGAACCAGAGGAAGGCTCCATAACTATAGAACCAATGACAAGGTCTGGAACAGTAACTGAAATTGAGTTTGTCTCAACTGGTCTTCCTAAGTTATTTCAGCCATTATTTCATATTGACCTTACGTTAATAAGATTCATATTAGTCTTTCGACCTCTATTTCAAAGGCTCATTAGTTCATTATTATGCTTTTTTAATTCAATTAGACTACATAATGTTAAGTGTTCCGGAGGTCAATGACTTGGTAAAAATTCACTCAACTGTGTCAAGGCAAACATGTCAAGAATAACTAATAACTAATGGATGCTTTAGAGCTTCAGCTATGTATTTTCTTCTATCTGAACCCTTTCATTTACCTTCTTCAAATAAATATGCGGTCAGTGGAAATAATAAAGTTCATACACTTATATGAGGATCTTATGCTAACTATTTGTAGCATGTGCGCTTTTCAATAATTGGCAGCAATATGAAATAGTAATGTCCCCATGGGTATATTGAATAGTGAAGAAGTTGGGATATGCTCAGAATGTCTACAGCCGTCAAATAGTATTTTTAGGTTTTTGGCTTCTACATCAAAGTATACTCTGTGTTGTCTATATTTGAGTTCTTATGGGCAAGTGTACAAATCAGTTAGGAAGTTCCATGTGGTGGTCACTTCTGTCAGATCGAAATATCAACTGCATTCGCTTGTGTACTCTTTGTAGTAAGAGGTTATACATGTTCTGCTCTGAATGTCTACTGATTTTTATATTTTTAAGTTTTTAAGCTTCTTCATTTCTTTTCCAGAGTACATAACTTTAACTCCATTCAGTTGTATGTTTACATTTATATGTAGTAATATGACATCAAAGTAGCTATGATTACTTCAATGATTGAATTTGATATATTTACATTTAATTACAGGAAGTATGTTCCTCATTTTGGTATTTTTGGTTACTAAAAAATCATAACTTTTGGGATTCTCAATCTGCACAACCTCACTTGGTATGAAGGTCATGTTATAAGAAGTTGGGGAGAAGGAAGTAACAAAGATGGTACTCAACTTTTTCAACTTTTTGGGCTGCCTCAGGGATTCAGATTTTGCGTCAAGTGGATATGCCACACTCAGTTCGTATGTTGTATTACACCTTTGTCTAAGTAAATGTTTATTATTAACATAATTTCACCATAAAACTATCACCTTTGACTGTAAATTTGTGGAATTAATGTAGTAAATTCTGTCTCAATTTTTTGCTGTAGTATCTCTCTCACTTCCTTGCCAGTATCTCTACCGTTCAACTTTTAGGTACTTTGACATCTTGCTGTGCCATAATTGCTGCGACTGGAGAAGCTTACGCGGACTCCAATTGTACCATGTTGTTGTTCTAGACTAGGATACCATCATTTTGTACTAAAAACTCCCAACACTATTAACTTTTTGGGTTCTATTATAACTACTAGATGAGTGTCGCCCGTGCTAAGCACGAGCCCAACATTTTAGGCCAAGTAATACTAATGTTTTGTACCAGCAATGGTGTTGTCATTCGGTCAGGACTTGACTTTTAGTTCTTTGTTTGTTTGCTATAATAAATGTCTAAAATCACAGAGAACATAAAAGCATAGGCATTCTTTTTAACATAAGGCAACAATCTTCAAAATTACACATGCCCAACTCTTCCCATAAAATTTATTGCAACCATAGCTTTATGAGCATACTTCATAGGTAAGAACCAGTAACCCCATCACCACCATTTGTATACATGTAAGTGGGAATTAACTTTGAATTTCACACAAATAAAAGGAGCACAAACAATGTGTTTGTCTACATTTTGCCCCTAGAAAAATGAATACATTTATCACTTGTGTCTATCATCCATCATTCAAACCTAAAACAACAAACCTATTAGCCTGAATAACTTCATCAGTAGTACTTCAAAAGTGTTATTCCAAAAACAAATAAAAGACAATTTTTTAAAAAAGAAAATTTTATTGTTAAACTACCCCTGGCTACAAGCAGACATGTTGAAACTTGAGAAGTTATTCAAAATTTTATATGATTTTTAAAAATATTCTAAGTTATTAATTACTGTGATTTATAATTTTTTAAGCGATTTTGAAGTAATATATATTATTTCATTCTCCCAATTTATGTGGCATAGATATAATTTCAAAGAATAATCATTTTTATGTCTTTTAAATATTTTAAATTGTTAATTATTGTAATTTGTAGTACCTTTTACGTAATTTTTAAATAATTTTTTTACTTCTCATGTCCCAATTTATGTGGTATTGATATAATTTCGAAAGTTAGCCAATTTTGTTTGTCTTTTAAATTTCGAAGTTATTAATTATTGTGATTTATATACTTTTTACGTCATTGTCAAATAATAAATGTCATTTCCTCTAAACCCATTTTATGTGTCACACATAGAATTTTGGAAGTCAAATGATTTTTTTATATTAATTTTAAATATTTAAACTTATTAATTATTGTGATTTAAAGTATTATTACTGTAATTTTCAAATATATAATAGGCTAAAAAAGAAATGTAAGACAAAATTAAAAGGAAAAAATAGCAGAATTAATGGTCAAATTAATGTGATGCAAAATGAAATTTGAAGAGGCAGCTAATTGTTGTATATATTATTTTTTAAAATTAAGTTGTTAATTATTGTGACTTATAGTACTATTGTTCTTTTAACATCTATTTTTATAAATAACATATGTTTCTTCTTTTATCTTAATTTATGTGGCACAATAGAATTTAGAAAGTTAATCATTTTTTATATGATTTTTCAATATTTGAATTCAATAATTACAATAATTGTAGTACTTTTTATATAAACTTTAAATAATAAAATGTTAATTTCTTCTATCCTAATTTATGTGACATTAATAGAATTTTGAGTGCAATAATTTTTTAATACTATTTTTAAAAATTAGTAATGAACAAGCAGTAGATTTTTCAAGAGTCAATATTTTGTTACACGGGGCCCAATATATGTTAATTTTTGTGTCTTAATTTATGTTATGTCATGTAAACCAATATTAAACATTCGCATACGCATTTTCCGACACAACAATATCGCACTTACTATCATGGTTGTTGTTGAACTTAAAGATATATTTATTTGACATATCTAACACCAAACCTTCAATGAAAAAGAAGATCATGTAGTATGTCAGCTTTGAGAGCGTAAAATCTTGCAATAACATTACTTGGTAAAAGAAGGTAGGGCTTTAATTTTTAAATTATACCAGTCATAGTAGAAATCTAAGTTGTGCCCATATGATGTTATTGATCAATATACACATCATTAGAATTTAGGAGAAAGAATCCATCTCACAATCATTGGTATTTCAAGAATAAAATGACCTTCTAAAATAATTTATCAAAGTAATTCCGAGAGAATTTTTTTATTAACATGATGATTGTCATTTAACTCAAACCAATAGCCCCCTAAAAAGGCAACAACCGTGACAAATAGATATAAAAATTACATAGCATAGCAAATAATTAAAAAAAAGATTTTATTAAGTATATCGAACCTTTGTGATCCTTGAAGAATGACACAACTCTTTCTAAGAGCTACACAATCCAAGGCCTTCCATCTGCATATATCAAATGAACACTTTAATAATTATAATAGACATAAGAGATAAACATAAGAAATTGAAGGATCAAATATAGACAAATCAAATCTCCCTTAAATGAAGCATATGATTCAGCGGAAAACTCCCAAAAAGCGACCATAACTTTTTTATGATGGGAAAGGTTTAAGACTTTACGACTTCATAAGCATGCTAACTAAATCCTCTCTAAAATTTGTTCTTAACTGATAATCATTTCACGATTCAAAATGACTTATGGATACAAATCATACAATCAAGAATGATGATACAATTAAGCTAAGGACAACATTGAAAAGTAATAAGACAGTAATGGAAGAGTAAGAAGCTAAGAAAAGAAAGAAAGGAAAAGAAAAAGAGTAAGAAACAAGCTATGCTCTATTTAGCTAAACAATTCTCTGCTTCAATTCAACAAGGACAAATACAATACTTAAATAGAAGCATAAGTGGCCAGCAATTGGACCTAAAGTATCCAATGCTCAAACATATCGGGCAATTTTGATAATAATAGAAACAACTTTAAAACCTATTGGACTAAACTGAGCAACATGAAACTATTCTTCTTAAATAAAACCTAACCAACTTAACGGCTAGGTGCAACCCTTCCAACGCAAAGTACACACTCTGCCTAAGCTTCTGCATCCATTCTTGCATGAAATGACCATATATTGACTATTTACCATCACTTTCTTCTTATATTAGGCAGTGATTGCAATCACAATGGCACAAGAGGTAAGACATAGCTAAAAAGGAAGCAGTAAGTTCGACGTCAAATTACAACAATTTTTCATTATGTTACATTCTTTTGAACTTAATCTTTACTAAAAATTAGTAGAAAACGTATATAAGAATTTAAGTAGGTAAACAAACTCAAAGATATAAGGAAAAAAAAATAGTTGAAGTAAACAAAGGGAAGCAGTAAGTTCGACGTCAAATTACAACAATTTTTCATTATGTTACATTCTTTTGAACTTAATCTTTACTAAAAATTAGTAGAAAACGTATATAAGAATTTAAGTAGGTAAACAAACTCAAAGATATAAGGAAAAAAAAATAGTTGAAGTAAACAATATAGCCTCAAAATAATCAATATTTAATTCACTAACCATATTGACATAAAATTACTACAAGGAATGGTCTTGAAAAATTGGCTCCGAGGTAAACGATTCTCTTTTTGTAGTACCCTTGCCTTCCGCAATGGTTCACAAGAGGAGTGCAGAATCTCAATTCTCCATTTGGTCTTTGTCAAAATTAATAAAAAAAAAATTGATTTTACTGTGCCATATGTTCTGTACCTAAATATTTTCTTCCATAAAACTTCAAAGCTAGATATAATATAATTTAAAATTTGATAAAATTCAAATGATTTTAAAGTGTGGTGCAACTGGAAAATCTATGAACAAAACAAGTAAAAATATGATGTTCAACATGGAGATCTCAGATCAGCATAAAATTAAGAGTGACTGACACTTGGTATTTCAAATCCAGGGTGAGGAATATATAAAAGCAACTCTATAAAACATGTAGATACGACATCGGAGGACTGAAGAATGAAAATCTCCAAGGAAAAAGTTTTTAAAACTCATATGAAGAGATAAATGAAACATCGAAACAGGAAAAGAATAGCGAGTAGCAAAAGAACACAGACTCTTGGAACATTTTCCTAACAACATGATCTTGTTGACTCTCTCGTCAAATATTTTTTATGACCAGAATATTTTCAAGATAATGGATTTATCACTGTTGTTCTTCACTTAAATGTAAAATTTGGTCTAGCAGTCAAGTTTCAAACTTGTGATACAGCTAGCACATCTTTGTGTTCCACATAGCACAACATTTACTGTTAAACCAAACCCCTAGAACATGAGGATTCTCTTGGCGCTCACCAACCGCTTATTAAAATTTAATAAAATTCATAGATACTCTTTTTTATAGCTCAACTAATTCAGTGAAGGACAAACAATCCCTTGGTCCCAAATAACAAAGTGACTTCTACTCTTACATGTCAAGAAAAACACTGGTAGATATTAGACAATAATTTATTCAGGTCACATGGTAAGACTTTCTCCTACATGCCAATTGTGTTTGAAAACATAGGGTACAATAGATGTCGTGCTTATTCCACACAACTTAAGCTGGCCATTTATAATTGTGGCGGACAACTGTTTTTGAGAAAAAAATACTATGCCACATCTTTTAGTTATGTTCCTTGCTATTGTTTTTCAGAAAATGTGACAGAATACACCTGGATCCAATTCTATATACTTCTCAGTTCACAATCATAAGGATCACAAGTTTTAAGTGTTTGTTGAATCGACAACGCCTACAAAGAGAGCAAAAATCAACTGTTAAGAGAAGCTGAAAATGGCAAGGAAACTGTATGTAAAGTATATGTTTCTCTGCTTTCAACTTAATTGGCAGAAAGGAAAAGTTAGATTGGAACTTTCTGTCAACAATGACATTAAAAATAACAAGGAAATCGTATCAAATCTACAAAGGAATTTTCTTCAAGCCAAATTTTATTTTTTTTCCTTCTCTTCATAGGTAGAGAAATTTCATCATGGAACAACAACACTCAAAGAAATTCAACAGTGAAATTGAAAAATGAAAATTGTAAGAAATATAAGTATAGATAGAGTTAAAATATTCTTCTAAGTGAATAAGAAGAATTGAAGGCTATTATTCTTTCTTTTTTTTGGGTTAAAATTGGGGGTAGAGGTAGTGGTAGGGATAGGGAAAGGGAAAATGCGAAGGGGATTACAATGTGGAGAATCAAACCGTCACCAACAAGGCGGAGTTCAGGTAGTCAACAAAAACCAACTGAGCTACTAAGCTTCTACAAATTGAAGGGCTATTCTGCTTCAGCAAGAGCCGATATCTTTGCTTTGAAGAAGGAGGATGTTTTAAGGTCACGTGAGTGCACAAGGTTAAAAGAAATTTAATGAATGAGAAACGATTTTTTGCCCGTGGATTCATTTATTATGCAACTCACATTAACATACAAATTGGTAGTAAAATTGAGAATTTTGAATTGGAGCTTTTATTTAGAAAAATAATGGCCAAAAGAGTTACTATCTACATTATTAGGCAGACCTCTCCAATTCATTATATTTATTAGACAACAATCAAGATAGATGAAGTTCAAATGACACTTCTAAGAACAGAACAATCTCCGCTAGATCGACAATTTCTTCTTGGGAATCATTATATTATTAGCCAAGAATTAATATAGGTTATGGATTCTTCTCAGGAACAATAACTTATGTCACAATTTGGCACACAAAATAACAGGGCATCAAAGTTATACTTTTTGAAACAATCTTCTTTATTAAATTTATTGACTTAAAAATAAATAGCAATAGATGAGATAATCAAAAAACCTTTTTATCACCCCCACAAAGTACAAAAAGACTTGTACAATTACCAAATGAAGCTTTAATAGTACAGTTGATTTAGCTCGTAACCCATAAGCTTTGCACCATCATCAGGAGAAGAAGAGATTTGAAGAAGATGAATGAGCACTTTGTCTCTTGGGTCTTAGCAATTGTAAATTATATATGCAAGCAGAGGAAAGAGATCTAGAAGGATCTGGAATGGAAAGCAAAAGAAAGATTGATTTGCTAAAATATCAATCATGCATAATTACCATTTTACTCTTGCATAATAACATAATTGTTAATTTGCCATTGGTCGTCCGGTCGTCTTCACATTTCTATATAATAATATAATAGAAACTACTGCAACAACTTTTGGATCAGTGTATCTGCACGACATACACGACGACACGCTTGTGTCTATTGTAAATATTGTGAACCTTATATATAATAGTGTGATATCAAGCTTGTATTCAAGTAGTCTTGTGCTCAATCATTTGTTCAAGGTTCTTGGTAAACTCTGATTTCAGTGGCTTCCGTCATTTCTTTCCTCTGTCTTTTTCCTAAAGGAATCAGATTATCAATTTCCTTAAGTTATACTGTTTGTCGGCAAGCGATGTTAACGTGATACAATACTAGATATTTATTACGTTTATCCATCATGATACTGATCTATTTCTCTTTTCTGCCGCAACTTTTTGTGGTAGGTGGATGTGAGTGTTAAACAGTTAATAATTTTCGAAGTAATGATAAATCTTGCAGTTCCAAAAAAATATTGAATTCCTTAGCCCTCGCCTATTGTTTGCTTCTCATGGTGTGATTTTCCTGGTAAATTCTCAAGTTGTACCTGTATATGCTTTTGCACGCAGATCTGATTTATTTACTCGCTTCTTTAAGAGTGTAATGTTTGTCCAGCTTCTGCTTTTATTTTTTATCTGCAAGATCATAGGTTGTTTTGTTATTAAAATATATCAACTTTGCTATGTCGTTTGTCTGTGTATGAATACATGTAGTGGAATTAAGGAGGTGCACGAGAAGAAGATGAAGCATATGAACTCTTGATACTTTCTCTAATTTTTAGTTCATTTGTTCTTCTTTAGGATGTATTTCTTATTTATTGATGGATCATGTCTTTGATTATCTTCTCTGGTTTTTCTACAGAAATTGGTTAAAATAGTTGTGCAATAAATTTATAATTCACATTTGTGCAGTCTTAGAAAGCTAGGCTTTTGGACCTTAATCAAAGATTGATTTTGATCTTTATACCTATAAGGCTATAAAGCCACTGAACATTACCCAAGATCCCAAATCTTGAAACTTCTGTTAGCAATTGGTAAAACCTACTGACCATCATGAATGAACTATAAATGAATTTTAGCTAGCTTGCTTTTCTGCAGGTTGTGCCACTCTTGCCAAACAAATAGTTAAGTTTCTCCTTTTCAGTTTAGTGAAAATGGTTTTCATTAAGAAAAAATGGTCATCCTGTATGCATATCACTTTGTGAGACTCCTTAAAATGCAATATAAGTGTTTGAATGTTCCCTTTTTATCGAGCAATATGATCCCAGCATAAGAACAATGGTAAGGCCTAGATTTGCAATGTCTTTTGTGTTTGAGCTTTCGATAGTAAGATAATATTTTGTTACAGCCAAGATTTTGATGTCTACATGGCAATTCCAGTGACTACTACTTTCTCCAGTTCTCATTTGTGTTTTGCAGATAAAACTTCAACATTTGTTGGATTCATATTCACCTCTCTGGTCAAAGCTCTTGCTTTACAATAATCTCTTCGGTTGATTTATTTTACCTCACAAACAGTGTGCTTCAGATACCCCTATATGTTGTACAAATGATGAAAATTGTAAGGCGTCTGAACCATTTAACAAATAGAAATTCTTGTGCGACTGTGCCAAGAAATAGTTTAGGACTGACTATATACAAAGGGTTAATCAAAATCACAATTCAGAATCACCTAACAAATATATTGTGCCAATTAAAAGAGTTAAACTAGAGAGCATTGTGGCTATAGAGCGTAAAGATGCAACGAATGTGCTCACAAATCAAAAAATTAAGTTCTGAGAAAAGATCTCAAAACTTTAATCCTCCATTGATATACATTTGTTTCCTCAAAATAGCCAGTATCATAGCTAATTTTAGTCTTTCTATGTAAGCATGGGCCAGGCCCTTCTAGTATATATATATATATATTTGGTTAAACTTAAACAAAGAATACTCTTAACTAGTTTATGTCGATTGCAGGTCCAAATATCCACTAAAAGGGGGCTGAAAAGGACAAAATCCAATTGCTTATTTAATAATACAAAAAGAGTGAGAAAGGACAAAATATTTAAAAACTAGGTATGAGCAAATTTTAAACCTGCAACCTCAATAATAGATTGAACCCCCTAAATCATTGAGCTACGCTTTTCAATTATGTTGAGGGTTCATTAAATGTTATATATGCATAGTATTTAAATTTAATTCTATATATACAGCATGATTTTTTGACCGAGGAGTTTGAATCCCCTACCTCTTACGTAGATTTTCTCCTGGTCACATGATACCTGATAAATATATCCAAACTAATGTCTATTTTAGTGGGTAAAAACACTATCAGTGTTTCAATGATTTCCTCCACTCACCCCAAATGGCGTGCGTGGGCCCTTTTTCCCTAAATAGTTTAAGGATCTGTTCGGCCCCAAAAAACTTGGGGAAAACTTGAAAAAATTTTGGAAAGTAGTTTTTGGTTATATATATTTTGGCAAATATATTTGTCAAGTATCTTTTTTTTAAAAATAAAATAAAAAATTAAGATCAGTGGGTCCAGGTCCCATTGACTTTTATTAAATAATCAAAACAAAAGAAAATAGAAGG